GGTTGGAAGAGCTCCTTCCATAGGGGAAAACCACCTTGGAGATGATTCCCATTGGGGATGCTTGAGGATGGAATTCCATCCCCGTTGGGTCGGAAGAGCTCCTTCCATAGGGGAAAACCACCTTGGAGATGATTCCCATTGGGGATGATTCCCATTGGGGATGCTTGAGGATGGAATTCCATCCCCGTTGGGTTGGAAGAGCTCCTTCCATAGGGGAAAACCACCTTGGAGATGATTCCCATTGGGGATGATTCCCATTGGGGATGCTTGAGGATGGAACTCCATCCCCATTGGGTTGGAAGAGCTCCTTCCATAGGGGAAAACCACCTTGGAGATGATTCCCATTGGGGATGCTTGGGGATGGAATTCCATCCCCGTTGGGTTCGGGACATCATTGGGATGGGAAACGCTTGGGAAAGGCCGGGATAATGAATGGGAATGGGTGGGATTCCATTGGGAACTCACCGGTTCTGCTCCTCCAGCTTTGCCAACAGCTCCAGCTCATCGGGGCTGAGGTTCTCCGAGTCGGACGTGGGGGAACAGGCGGGAGCCGAGTGGATGGAGGAGAGGCCTTCATGGGAAGAGGAATCGGGGCTGAGGGCCGGCGACGCCATCGTGGGATTCCAGCTGGGATCTTGGGATCTCACCTGGAAAACCCAGGCCGACGTCAAGGGCGGCCTCCCTGCTGCCAGTGCTCCTCATCCGCATGGAGCCCAACCAAGGTGGGAGCAGCCCTCCATGGGCAGAACATGGAAAAGCGTGGAATGCCCTAAAAATTCCCTAAAATTCCCTACAATTGGTTGTTTTTAACCCAATTTTCCCATATTCTGTTGGCCCTGATCAAAATATTCAAAAACCAGGAATTAAGCCCAAAATTCCCTCATTTTCAGAAGGAATGGGTGGGATGAGAGGGGGAACCTATGGATTCACCATGGGTTTCCCTATGGATCCACAACCCACTTGGGTGGTTTCCATAGGTTTCCCTATGGATTTTGATGGTTTCCATAGGTTTCCCTATGGATTCACAACCCATTTGGGTGGTTTCCATAGGTTTCCCTATGGATTCACAGCCTATTTGGTTGGTTTCCATAGGTTTCCCTATGGATTCACAGCCCATTTGGGTGGTTCCCATAGGTTTCCCTATGGATCCACAACCCATTTGGGTGGTTTTCCATAGGATTCCCTATGGATTTTGATGGTTTTCCATAGGTTTCCCTATGGATTCACAACCCATTTGGGTGGTTTCCATAGCTTTCCCTATGGATTCACAACCCATTTGGGTGGTTCCCATAGGTTTCCCTATGGATTTTGATGGTTTTCCATAGGTTTCCCTATGGATCACAACCCATTTGGGTGGTAACCCAAACCCTAACCCTAACCCTAACCCTAACCCTAACCCAAATCCAGGTGGGAATGGGGTAAGGAGACGCCAAGCGGGGTTCTCATGGGGTGCAATCCCGTTGCATTTGCAGCATGGGGATAAGGAGCTGGTGGGCGCCGTCCCTTGAGGATTCCCAAGAGCTCATCCCCAAACCAGCAAATCCCCCCCCCGGACCCCAATTTTGCCAGAAAACCCCATTTTTAACATGGAAAAGGAGCTGGAAGAGGGAAAACCCCACGGGTGAAAGCACCGGCATTCCAGGGGGTGGGAAAAGCACAGCTTGGAAATGAGGTTAAACATCAGGAATCCGGCTCTGATGGGGCCAAATGGGGGTGATTTGATGCCCAAATCCCACCCCTTCCATCCCCAAATGTGGATTTTCAGGGGGAAACATCCCCAAATGATGCCCAGAAAGGGATTTTTGCCCAAAATCGGCTGAAATGAACCCAAAATGATGGTGGTTTGGGGGATTTTCCATGCAAACCGAGGGGGTTTCTGCCTCCATCCATGCTGCAGGTAGCAAAGGCTCCCAAAGCAGCAGGAAAAGGGGAAAAGCATCCCAAAAGGAGCAGGGATTTGGGGGGGGGGGGGAACCGGGATTCGCTACCAAATCCCAACAAAGCCAAAATCCCAGGATTTCAACCCAAAAGGAGGCAGCAGGAAGCACACAAAGGCACCGCTCCGGGGCTGTGCCTGGATGGAGCCATCATGGGGGGGGGACCCAACCTTTGCCCCATAGATGTGGGGCAGGGGATGCTTGGCTCTGCTTGGGGGGGGAGCACCACCCCCCCAAACCCCCCCTTTTTGGTGCATTTTAACCAAAACCTCATGATTTAAAGGGAAAAAGCAGCCAGGAAAGGAGGGGGGAGGGAGGGAGAGGGGACCCCCCCCAATGTTCTCCTCTATGGGCCCCCCCCATAGACCCCACAATGGAAGCACCCCCCTTAGCCCTAAAGGGGTTCCCCCTTTTAATCTATAGCCATAGGCTGGGGAGACCCCCAAGCTGCCCCATAGATGGGGGGGGGGGGTTATCCCAATGCCCCCCCCCATAGGAGGTGCCCCCAGTATCCCCCCCTATAGATGGGGGGGTATTTACACTATAGATCCCCCGCCATTCATAGCATGGGGGGGGCTTTACCCCCATACCCCCCGCTTCCCTATAGCTATGTGGGGGGGGGGTCACCCCACACCGCCCCCCCCCATAGGGTATAATGGAAGGCGCCCCCCCCAGCCCCTCCTACCTGTGATGCGTTGCCATGGCAACCGCCCTCTGCATCCGAGGGCGGGGGGGGGGGGGGGCCCGAACGGGACCCGAACGGGAGCCGAACGGGCCCGGCCGCTGCCGTCCTGGCGGGGGGGGGCCACCGCCGCCACCGCCCTCATTGGGTAGTGATTGATAGGCGAGCCCCGCCCCTCAGCCAATCAGCGCGCAGCTTTGGCTCTTCAGCCCGCCCGCTAAACCAATCGCTGCTGTCCGCCCCCGGAGCCGGCTGCTAAGCACGCTGAGCCAATGAGGTACAAGGAGGGGTGGGAGCAGCCAATGGGAGGCGAGGGTGATGGGGATGGATGGGGAGGACAGCCAATGGGATGTCAGAACTGGAGCCTGGGCGGCAGGGGAGGCAACGAGCCCCGCCTCCTGGGCTGGGTTTGCTTGATAGGAGAAGCAGCCAATCGCTGGCGGAGGAGAGGGTGAGGAAGCCAATAGGAGCTGCGTTCATCTCTGCGTATGGTCCCGCCTCCCTGGGCAGGATTTGCCGCTCTGATTGGCTAACGCGAGATGATTGGCAGGCTTTTCCACCAATGGGGTGTTGAGTAGCTGTGAGGGTACTCTATTACCAGGCAGGGTGGGTACCAAGGTGGAGGGTTAGCTGGGATGGGGTCCCCGATCCATGGGGATATCCATAGGGATAAGGTGCCCTGCTGCCCCATAGGGTCATGGTGCCCTATAGGGTGGGATATGTGGGGTGATGAGGGGCATGTCCCTCATTCCCATAGGGATTCAGATGTGGGGGTCCCCAATTCCATAAGGATGGGCTTAACAGGGACCCCAGCCCCATAGAAACGGGTCCCTTGTTCCTTATGGATTCAGGTCTTGGGGGGCATGGGGGTCCCTGGGGGGGGTGCAAGGACACTGGAGCCCCCATTCCACAGGGATAAGGGTGTTGGGAAGCATTGGGGGTGTCCCCAAGGAGACGGGGTGTCCATGGGGATATGGGGCTATGAGACCCCTATGGATGGGGATGAGGGGCATTGGGGTGCATTTTATACCCCTCTGTTCACTTTAATTCCACTTTTGTTTCAGCTTAAAAAGCATCATTTCCACCCCCCCCCACCCCACCCCCCATCACCAGGGCAACCAGAACCCAAAATCGCAGGGTTTTAACCCAAAAGTGCACCAGAAGCCAAGAGCCGAGCCTTGACTTCCCCTAAATCTGGGGTGCGAAAGGGGAAATGGGAGCGAAGGAGGAAGCTGGATGGGAGCGTTCAGTGTCCGAATGTGCTGGCTCTTCCCGAGGTGGGAATGGGTCAAAATGGGATGATTTTGGGGCTGATTTTGGGGTGGGATTGGGGTTTTCCATAGGGATCCAACATGCGGCACAAACCCATTCCCAAGCAGAGAACGACGGCGACGCCAGGTTGTGATGGCCCCAAGTGATGGAGGGATGGGAATGGATCTGGAGGTGGGAACCTCATGGGGATCAATGGGAACCAAGGGGAAGGTCCTTGTGGATGGGTTGGGATGATCCCAAAGGAGACATGGATTGGATGGATATGGGACCTTCCCCATGGACTGGAGCCATAGGACAAGGGGTGATGGGAACTTCAGCCTGGAGATAGGAGGAGGTGGGACAATGGGATGCGATGAACGGAGAAGGATTGGATGAAGCATCCCATTGGATGGGGCTTGGAGCGACCTGCTCCAATGGGAAGTGCCCATTCCAGGCTGGAGCTGGTGGATCTCAAGCTCCATCCCAACCCATCCCATTCCATGATCCCATGGATCAGAGCCGACAACACCGGAGGCTTTCCCCAATGGGAGCTTTCTTCTGGTCCAAAGGCAAAAACGACCCCAAAACCACCAAAAACTCCCCCAAAAAAGAGTTGAATTTCAGAGAACATCATTTTGGGGATAAAAACTCCAAAAAAAGGGCCAGAGGGAAGGGGTGGTGCCATCAGGAGCCCCAAAGGCCCTGAGTGAGCAGATTTGGCCCCGAAAGGTCAGGGTTGTGCAAGCCGCTTCCTTCCCTTCCTTGGAATGCATTGGCTCCTCCTCCCTGCCCTATAGAAGGGGCCAGGATCCAAAGGGAAAGGGTCCGAGATGCAGCCAGAAGCCATGGAGGATCTGGAGCTTGGGGAGCAGGAGAAGGACGCCCCTAAAGGAGGTACCGGGAAGAGGGAATGGGTTTGGGGTTCCCAAGATGGGGAAGTGGAGGCTTTGGGGTCCTTAAGGAGGTGATGGAGGGGGATGGACACCGTTGGGTCCTGGGGTAAGGAGAGGGCGATGGAGCCCCTCAAGGGGTGTTTTTGGGGTGATTTCTCTCTTTGGGGTCTTCCTTAGGGAAGCATCCATTGGGGAATGCCCTTTGGGATCGCCTCATCCCGGGGGTACCCGTCCCTCCATCCTTGCACCCCGATAGAGCCGTTGCTTTGCTCTCCATGCTCCTGGCCCTCTCCTTTGTGCTCCTCATGGCTCTGAGCATCGTGAACCTCCGCAGAGGTGAGGGCGAGCCCCGGTTTGGGTCAAAACACCCCAAAATGGAGCAAAACGTGGCCGTGGAGCCCTCCAAGTGGGATTCTCTCTCCTTCAGTCTCCATGGCATGGGAAGCGTTGGAAGAGGCTCGGATGCGGGAAGAGAGCATCCATGCAGCGGCATGGAACAACCTCTCGCAGGTCCAGCATGCTCTTGGTATGGGATCGCCCCCCTCAGTATCCACATGGATCCAGTGCTTCCCAATGGGAATGAAGCCCTCCGAAGCCTCTTCCCATCCGAGCATCCTTGTGTCCATTGCAGACCAGCAGCTCTCCAAGGAGGCCAAGGCTGCTCGCATCCAGCTCCTCAATGGTATCCCAAGGAAAAGGCAATGGGAATGGGGGAGATCCCTTTGGGATCCCGAATACTGGGAGCAGGGAGCATCCCAATGGGATCAAACGGGGGTTTCCCCCTGTTCCCAGTGTCCCAGGAGGTGGAGAAGATGCAGTGGAGGATGGCGCAGTGCGAAGAAGGATGCGGGAAGGAGCTCTTGGGTCGCCTCCAAGACCTGGGTGAGAGCTTGGTTTTGATGGAAAACCCTTAAATTCAGCCTTTTCCCCCCATTTTCCAACCGTCTGGAATGGGGGGGGGTTGGGGAGGTGCTGGGATGAGTTTGGGATCATGGGAAGCGGGATATTGAAGGAAGCCTGCAGAAACGAAGCGAAACCATGGAACCAAAGGGGTTTTTAGCGCTGGAATTGAAGAACTGGTGGGGATGGGGACGGGAAAATGGGTTGGAAACGGGGGTTTTGGGTGTTCCCATCTCCCAACCCCCCCCTTTAACCCCTTCATCCCACCCCAGAGGCCAGGAACGCGCTGGAGCCGGTGCTGCAGCAGCTGGAGGGGGTGAAGCGGGAGCTCTCCGTGGTGCTGAACGAGACGCGCGGCCTCTCCAGTGAGCCCCGAGCCCCGTTGTTCCCTATGGGGTTTCCTACGGCTCCCGTGCTCCCGTCCCGCTTCCCGCAGGGCTCCTGTGCCCCACGTGCCCCCCCGGCTGGCTCCAGTTCGCCAGGACCTGCTACTTCTTCTCCAGCACCACCAAACCCTGGGGGGAAGCCAAGGAATTCTGTGGGGAGCTCAATGGGCACTTGGCCACCGTCAGCTCCGAGCAGGAGAATGTGAGGGGAGGGGGCAGGGATCCACTGGGAAGGGCAGGGATCCATTGGGAAGGGCAGGGATCCATTGGGAAGGGCAGGGATCCATTGGGAAGGGCAAGGATCCCTTGGGAAGGGCAGGGATCCATTGGGAAGGGCAGGGATCCATTGGGAAGGGCAGGGATCCCTTGGGAAGGGCAGGGATCCATTGGGAAGGGCAGGGATCCCTTGGGAAGGGCAGGGATCCATTGGGAATGGCAGGGATCCACTGGGAAGGGCAGGGATCCATTGGGAAGGGCAGGGATCCATTGGAATGGGCAGGGATCCATTGGGAAGGGCAGGGATCCATTGGGAAGGGCGGGGATCCATTGGGAAGGGCAGGGATCCATTGGGGAGGGCAGGGATCCATTGGGAAGGGCAGGGATCCATTGGGAAGGGCAGGGATCCATTGGGAATGGAAGGAATCCCTTGGGAAGGGCAGGAATGCCTTGGGAAGGGCAGGGATCCATTGGGAAGGGCAGGGATCCACTGGGAAGGGCAGGGATCCATTGGGAAGGGCAGAAATCCCTTGGAATGGGCAGGGATCCATTGGGAATGGAAGGAATCCCTTGGGAAGGGCAGGAATGCCTTGGGAAGGGCAGGGATCCATTGGGAAGGGCAGGGATCCATTGGGAAGGGCAGAAATCCCTTGGAATGGGCAGGGATCCATTGGGAATGGAAGGAATCCCTTGGGAAGGGCAGGAATGCCTTGGGAAGGGCAGGGATCCATTGGGAAGGGCAGAAATCCATTGGGAAGAGCAAGAATCCATTAGAAAGAGCAGGAACCCCTTGGGAAGGGCAGGGATCCTTTGGGAAGGGCAGGAATCCATTGCAAAGGTTAGAAGTCCTTTGGAAAGGGCTGAAATCCCTTGAAAAGGGCAAAAATGCCTTGGAAAGCACCAAAATCCCTTGGGAAGGGCAGAGATCCATTGGGAAGGGCAGGGATCCATTGGAATGGGCAGGGATCCCTTGGGATGGGCAGGGATCCATTGGAATGGGCAGGGATCCATTGGGAAGGGCAGGGATCCATTGGGAAGGGCAGGAATCCCTTGGGAAGGGCAGGGATCCATTGGAAAGGGCAGGGATCCATTGGGAAGGGCAGGAATCCCTTGGAATGGCAGGGATCCACTGGGAAGGGCAGGGATCCATTGGGATGGGCAGGGATCCATTGGAATGGGCAGGGATCCTTTGGGAAGGGCAGGAATCCCTTGGGAAGGGCAGGGATGCCTTGGGATGGGCAGGAATCCATTGGGAAGGGCAGGGATCCACTGGGT